GGTAAATTCCAAAGAGCAACTACATCCCTATGTTTATAGCAGCACTCTTTACAATAGCTAAGCTTTGGAAACAGCCCAAATGCCCAAAAATAGATGACTGGATCAAGAAGATGTGGTACATATATACCATGGAATATTACTCAGCATTCAAAAAAAGATAAACACATGCAATTTGCAGCAACATGGATGGCGCTGGAAATATCTTTCTGGCTCAGCGAAATAAGCCAGAAAGATAAAGAAAAATACCGGATGGTCCCACTCATAGCAGGAATCTAGAAAACTTAAATAAGGAACCAGGAAAATGAATAACTATAAGAAAGTGAAAATCAAAATCAACAAAAAACTATGAACCAGAGATTCTCTATGGGGAGTAGGGGGCGGGAGGGGAGGGATTGGGGTCAAAATAAGGGGGTTGCAATTGTATGGGGAATATAAAAATAAAATTTATTATTAAAAAATAAAATTTATTATTAAAAAATCAATTAATTAATTAATTAAAAAAAAAAAGAACTAAAGTTCATAAAGCCAAAAAGAGTTGCCCGAGAAGCTATATCCAAATCTCACTTTCCAAAAAGGTTTGGGTCAAAAAAGTCCTCCATTACTCAACTGAGACCAAGCAACAAGGTTTGAAAACACAGCCTTAAGAGACAAACAGATAAGACTGAAAAATCAATGCCTTCTTGGGGTGAGCAACCAATATTAAAGATAAAATCCTTTAAAGTTAGAAATTAAAAATCAAAATGACAATTAACAAGTTTACAAAAGTTTTTCCTTTGCCAACCCAAAATTTTGAGAGAGAAAAAAAAATCTCATCACTTCTCACCTCCTTGCCTCATGGAAAGAGATTCCAGAGTCTGATTTGGTAAGAATTCTTACCTTTCAGATGGCTTTTGTCAAATATCCAGGATCTCTTTCCATGGCAACTTTCAGAAATACAGAGTGCATAGTCTATCAAGTTTCTCTTGGCTGGGTCATCAAATAGTCAGGGTGCAACATAAATCATCCCATACCTCCATGGGCTCTTCTCAGACTGGATGAGTAATCAAAAGAGGCTCAGACAGGTTAGCAAACGAAAAACAAAAGAATTTAATTGCATGCACATAGAGAATTCACATGACTAAATTTTAAAGAATAACTGAGCAGATTATGTTTTAGTACCTGAGGCATCAAGGACAGAGAGGGGGAAAATTCACACGACTGACACAAAGGGCGTTATCTCAGCCTTATTCTAAGAGTAAAGATTCTTAGATTCTTAGAATGAAAATGTTTACCGATAAAACTAGAACTGGGAGAGACTACTAAACTATTGTCCTCAGTCATTAAAAACGAAAAGGGCAGAAGCTTAGGACATGTTATTCATCTCTCCCTTGATTTGGGAGGGCTAAAAGACTTAGGCAAGAACAGAGGTTTCTCCTATTCAGCCTTCAGGGCCCTCATCACTCTTAACCCAAAACAATGTACATTTTTAAGTAATGGTAATATACAGATTTTCTGAGGCTTCCAGAGTCTTGATTGAACTACAGTTCTCAAGCAAGATGACAAGAGTTTACTATGGGCCCACTGGGTAAAAGTATCTCTTTTGGGGGCACTGACCCCATACCTCTATCATCATAGTTTAGCTTTACCTTTCTTTATTTTCATATAAAAAGATTATACAATATGCACACATTTATGTCTGGCTTATTTGGCTGAACAGTAAGATTGCGAAACTTATAACTGTTGTTGCACGTATCCATAATTTCCCCTTTTCAACTGCTAAGACTACAACACAATTTATTTATCCATCCTACTATGAACAATGGGGCGACTTTATCTAGTTTTGAGCGATTAGGAATTAAGCCAGTACTAACATATATAGCTATAAATATATATAGATCCAGCTATATGCATTATACTTATTTTTCTTGAATATATACCTAGAAAATGAACTGTTATAGGAATAATAAGGAGCAATGTCTGAGTAGTGAATGATGTCCTGAATGAACTGCATTCATTAATGTCTTTTCAGACTCACCCCACTTCTACGCTGATGAGATCTCAGGTACCAAGGACTACAACACCCAACATGCCGTGAACATGTCTTCCTGAGCAGGGTGAAAGGGATGACTGCTGGGAACCAGGGACAGAGCTGAAGTCACACTGATTTTTAAAAGTATGAAGAAGGGCAGGACTTACTTTCTTTCTTGTCCTGCTTTGACTTGCGCCCTGGTCTCTGCTGCCACTAGGACAGATGGCATCCAGCTATGTATCTACCCAATTAACCCTTTCTCTCTCTCTCTCTCTCTCTCTCTCTCTCTCTCTCTCTCTCTCTCGTTCCTGCCCCCTCCCCCATCTTCCCAGGGCTACACGATAACAGCTTGGAGTCCAACATGGATTATTAGGCAGGCATAAGCTCAGCTTTCATAGATTCTGCTTAAATACTAAATTCTGCTGAAATACTAAAAGGAAAACAAAATACCTTTCTTAAATATGCAGAATTATTTGTTTAGTTATTTCTTCTTTTAAATCATATAAAGTTAGATAGCCTCTAGTGCAATGATTTTATTCCAGCTCAAATAACAGAATCATAGGGAAACAATTTTAAAGTAGAAAGTTCTCAATGCCCCCATACTCTGCCAAACAAAACCTTCTGATTGGTGAGCATTTAGAACTACTGATTGAAGATTTTTACTACTGGTATCAAAACTGAAAATGCAACAAATGAGTTGAAGAGCTATTTCTTGGGAAATTAATGTTAATCAAACATTAAGATATTTTATCTCATTTTAATTTGTTTAAATTGTTCTCACCTAAAAGTGAAAATTAAACTCAAGGATGTTTATTTATTACTTTTTTTTAAATAATTGCTTCACTCTTACATTTCTAAAAAAGAAAAAAAATTCTTTATTAAATGTAGCAACCCTGACATTCAAAGAAAATTAGCAAATTCAAGTTGCAATAGTGTTTCCAGAATTGAAAAAAACCTTTTTTAAGAGAAACGATACAGAATCCTATACAGCAACCATATCATCAGAAACAGGAAAATAAAAAAAAGGAAAAAACTCATCAGAAAATGAAAAGTTGAAAATTAAGGCTACATTCAAAAGATAATAAAACTGAAACCTATCACATGAAAGTCATATACCTATTATGATAATATCATGAAGAAGCCAGGTTCTCATGAAAAACTTTTATATCCACAGCAGACTATCAAATTCTTGGGTAAGGCAAAAAAGCAAGCAAAAATAACACCAAACCATTTTTCTCTCCTGTGAAGAAAAAAGTGAAAAGCTCAAGAGGACTTCATTTTCAAAGATCACACAGGCAAGACTGAAAAACGATGTGGATGATATGGATGACACCCTAAATTATGTGAAAAAGGATGCAGGATACACTTAACAAAAAAATGACATCAGAGAAGATAAAATTAAGTCTTATAGTAAACTGATCAAGAACTGAATAAATGAGCATAAGGGACTATAGTGATGGATTACAGGTGATGGTGGTGGGAGAACTATGGGGACTACACTTGAGGAGAGAAACTAAATACTCTACAGAAATGAACAATAATTTTAAAAAAGGAAGAATGAAGAAACACATGAATAAACTCTAGTATGTTTCTTGATTTCTCTTTTGGTAATGGGACCAGTAGCACATGCCCAATGAACATCAGCAATTAAGCAGTTTCTATACAATATTAAAAAAGACTTAACTTGGAAATAGAGCATCACAAAATCATCTAATGGAAGCACACAATTTAAGAGATCATACAGGGAAACTCTTTTAAAGGTGACGAGATATGGACAACACCACAAAAAACAGAGCTCTTCCCAGCACCATCTACATGGGCAAAACCAATACTTTGGTCACCAAAATGGGTGTTCAGTGTCTTCGAAGTAGATAAGGGAGGGGTCAAAAGTATATCCCTCTCTCCTAAAAAGGATGCCAAACCAAAACAAGAACATACAATTTGCCTGATATAACACAATGATTACTGGGCACAATTCTACATTTGAACAATTCTAAACATTCTGTCATCATTCTATGAAACAAAGTAAAGCACCCCTTTCACTTTCATATGCATTGTATCAGTCCCAGAAGATACTGTCTCCTTTTTAAACTACACAAATCTCTATAATGGAACTTTCACCAGGTGCTAATGTTCTCTTCAAAAAAGATAGTGTCTACCCTGCCAAATGACCACCTTTATACGTTAAATGTTCACATTCACAAAACCATGATTTCGACACTTTCAAAGTACATCTTATAAGCCAAAATCAAGCTTCAAATTTAACATTTCCTTCATCCTCAATGATTCCAAATCATGATTAAGAAGAAATAAAAAAATCTCCCTCTTCACTTTCAATCAATAAAATCCCCAAAGAGTTCAAGCATCAAAACATACACATAAAATATTAGCCTTATATATTCTTAATATAATATAAATGAACTAGTAAGGTGATCAATCAATTTTCAATTACATTGGCATCTGGAGATGACAGGGCCTTTACTTACAATTGACTTTACTCAACAAATGAGGGGATTCACACCTTAAGGAGTCCAGAAACACCCCAAGCATGCAAACTGACTAGTAATTATTTACTAATAAAAGCAGTACTTTTCTTATTGGAGCAAGTCACCTTCACATTTTGAAACTGTTACAATATAAAAAACACAAACTAAGGAGGATCCTAAATGCTCAACTTACAGTCAAATGGATGACTATTATTAACTGAATAATTACAATTAAATTGATTTTTGAAAATAGATTTTCAAATGGAGTTTGTATAAAAAGATACCCAGTCAAAATATATACATGCAAAATACATGTAGATCTTTGCTAAGTGTACCTTTAACATTTTTAGTGTATTTTATAGAATTCAAAATTACACTACTAGCGCTTTGGTTTAACTGATAAATATCATTTGTGTTAGTAAAACAAATTGGTAAAACAAATATAATAAAGCCCAATTGTTCAGCATGAAGCTTAGCTCATACATTATTTTACACTGTATACTTACTACATCAAACTTCTGGGTGATGTTCCCTTGGACATCAAGTAAATAAACCTTGCCATAATGCGTGCCCAGTGCCAAAAACTGTAAGAAGAACAGAGGGATCAATTTATTAATGTACCATTAATATACAGTTAATAATAAAGCCACTTTTAAAGTCAAGCCTCTTAATGTGGAATTGATCTGCAACACCCTGGAAGATATGCATTCCTTAGAAAAGCTTGTTTCCATCTTCAGGGAAATAACAGAAGAGGGCCTACTTTATTGTGATAGTGCAAGCCAGCTGTCAGAATGACTCATGAGGACCCTCATCTACTGACAACTAATGGTGTGGCTGTGGTCTGTACACAATGCCTGATGGACTAAAGCAGCAAATTAAAATGCAGACATGAAAACACAAACAACCTATAGATGAACTTAAGTCAGTAGGAATGATCAAGAAACTCGCTCTAATTTATGGCAAATGTGTGAATCTGTGTTATCGGTTAAGTTCAAAATATATGTAAACACATAAACAGTATATTATTATATTTTAGAAAGGAAAAGTCATGCCATATAGAGAGATGAAAAAACTCAGATGTGCTTACACCGTCAGTTAGCATTAGCGTGCCACTATCAAAGTTAATATGTAATAAAGTACAAATGTGTACACTCTAATGCAAAAAAAAAAAAAGCTCTCATAAAATAACTGCTGAGCTATACATTCACTCTATGATCTAAAACTAGTTCATATCTCCCACTTTCTTTAATTCTTTGATCTAACCTTAAACAAACCAAAAGAAAGTTTAAGACTCCCAGAAATATGACATGGGATACTGCTTCCTTTTTATTTCTTTAAGCATTACTCAAATACTTCTAAATTCTCTGCATTTCATTGCATGTGAGTATGCTTCATTGCAACCTATAATGAAATGCTCAAATTTACAGGCACTACTAAGCATTGCAGTGAAGCAGCACAATCTTTAAAAAATAACCTTATAGGAAGTCAAGATTTTAAAAGGATTTATCAAAATGGAATTGCTTAAAATGAAATTTTAGTTCAGACACTTAAAATATGAAGCCACATTAAAGAGGAGTCTCAAAAAAGGAAAGAAGGGGTTCATTAGAAATTCATCCCCTGCAATGCCTTTCACTCCTGCAAGGTTGCCTTTTTTTCAAGAAGAAAAAAGTCCCCTGGGTAAAAAAATCAATACTGGTTAATAAAACATCAGGTGTGCAGACATAACTAGGTATGACGATTCGGGCGCACAGGCCGGCTGAATGCACCGGGTGCCATGCCGATTACTCATCCAGGGCAGACAGCAAGCCTGGCAAGCCCAGGATGCCGGACCCTGGAAAGGGAAGGGGAAGAGGTAATTCTGAGGGGAAATTAGCCTGAATATTTAAACCAAAACAGGGATGTTTTCTCCAAAGCAAAAGAACAATCTAGTCAGAAATCGAGGACTCAGATGCTTGTAATCTTTTCTCCACCGTGATGCTCTGACAATATTTGAATAAAGAAACCACAAATATGAACTAAAAATGAACAATACTACACTTTACACTGAGGTTATATAGGTTAAAAGAATGGGTCTTAAAAGCATACTACACCCAAGTACTCCATGGTATTGATTCTTCTCATAAATACTGTATATAGTTTGTTAGAAAACTAAGGGGGCTTGGATCCTTAAAATGCTTAAAGATGTCAACTTCCAGTACTTGAAATGTCTATTTACCATTCTTAAAATATCAATTATACTTTATCAAATGTTTAAAGATTCTATGCAGGGTACTTTACTCAAATATCCTTCCCTTTTTCTTTCTTTCTTTTTTTTTTTTCAAATTGATAGTCTCATTCACACAATACTTACAAGAGAAAGGAAACATCATATAATTATTTTGATTTTACATCATATAATTATTATGATAACATTAGAACTTTTTTGAAAAAATTCAGCGATTTTTATGACAAGCTATCTTTTGTTTAGGAAAACATTTCATCATTTGAATTAGAAAAATGATTGCTGCTCTCTTTTATAAATAACATTCTGTGTTTTTTAAGAATAAAACACCAAATTTGATAAGCCAATCATGTAGTTCCTTGAAAATTTATTTGACTAACAAATTACTGATGTCATACTTTCATTTGCTAACGCTTTCAACTACATAAAATCCAACAAAAAAAGTGAAATTGGCCTCTAATCACAAATGTAAATACAAATTCTTTAAATATGACTTTTTCTAGCCATTAAAAGCCTTGCCCTTTTGTACTATTAAATTTTTTTAAACCCGAAAGCACATTTTAAAATCCAGGATGGGCAAAAAATAAATATAACTTAATTACCCCCTTTCCTGAATTATGTTTAATTACAGAAATTTGACTCACTTTATAAACCATCAGAAGGGCATCTAATCAATCCTTCTGAAACATCCATAACTATTTTTAACTGGAATAACTGGACTATATATAAGTAAATAAGAAGAGATAAGCCTTTGAACACCACGAAGGAAACAAAAAGTAGCACATATCAAATATGCCTGACTGGATATCATCATCTATATTTCACACAGCATTTTATAGCATTCAAAGTATTAGAGCTGGGCATGCATTCAATTGTACATGAGGAACTAAGTTAGAGTTACGGGAGTTGATAGGACTTCTCTGGAAACAGACAAAGTGAAGCAGAGTTAGGGTCTGAATCAAGAGCTAATATACCCTCAGCTGGATCAGAAGTCTCCTAAATAAAAACATAGGCCTGAGATTCAGAGTGCAGGTTCTAAAATTTAGTACTGAGGACAGTTTCCAGCATCAGACTCTTCTGCTACATTGGATTAAATATGGTGTTAGAAAAGAACAAGTAAACTGCTCTCCACTTGATATATTCAGTGGTTCATTCAACAAACATACAAAAATACTACTATATACTTGAAAGTGTGACTTAAAGGGTGATGATATTATAAGGGAGAGAAATATAAAAAGATGATTAATTTAAATTAAAACTTTTAAAGGATGCTTGATGTAAATATCTCTAAGACCCTGGCACCTGGGAGCTGTCACCTACATTGAGCTTTGAAGGTCTTAAATATCACATTAAGTTAAAGGTATATAAATATAGGCAGGAGTTGATCGGGGTCTAAGCTAGGGGAGGGGTGGTACAAAAACAATTAGGACATAAAATGATAGGGTGGAAGAGAAAAAGGACTCATTGACTTAGGTGATAAAGGAGATGGTGATGCTAGCAATGGGGGTAGAGAATAAAAAATAGATGCACAGATAGAGGGGAAGGAAGATGACACCCGAATTAAAAAAACATACTATTTTGGGCAGGTTCAGTGTTAAAGTGGTCATAAAAATCATGAAATTTAAATTTAAAAAGTATAAATTAAGAAGAAATGTGGGCAATGGACCAACTCCTGGGGAAACCAACCTGTAAGAGAAAGATGGAGATAAAAGAAAGTGAGAGAACCAGAAGGGAATGACAGAAATGATAATAGTAGTACTAGTCATAATAATAACAATAATAATAATAATAACAGAATGCTGTCATGACAAAGAAGCATGAGAAGATGAGTTCCATTTTAAAAGCAGTAAAATGTACATCAACTGGCCAATGTATACACAAAATGTGGTATGTCCATTAGAGAGCCATAAAAAAGGAATACACTGTTGATATATACTACATCACCAGCGAACCTCAAAAATATTTTGCTAAGTGAAAGAAGCTAGACACAAGAACAAACATTATATGACTCCATATATTTGCATATAAAAATTTCAAAATAGGCAAATCTATAAAGATAGAAAGTAAAGTAGCAGTTGCCTGAGACTAGAATTCGGTCTGTTCCATGCTATAGCAGGTATTAGTACGCAAGAAGGTAGGAAATGAGATGACATGAAGAAAAATGTGAACAAATAGATCCTTGAACAGGAGGAAGAAAAGCTCCTACAGGTAAGGATGGGTGCAAACTCAAATGAGTTGAGAAAGGAACTGCAGCTGATCATGCTTAGAGAAATGACATCATCCACCTCGAGTGAAGGGACCGTTTTTGAGAAGGGGAACTGACACTAAGGGGGTCAGTGAAAGAAACAAATAACAGCACTTCTAGTACGACATTTACTGAGGCATGCGATTTGGTACCAGCACATGGCTGGATGCCTTGGTCCTCAGAGAACACTGACTCAGAGTAAGAATGTGGCTAATGGCACAACAAACAGGGATATATACGAATTGAAGATGCCAATGAAGCAAAATCAAAATGGTGAGTCATTTGATAGAGACAGAAACTAAAAGAAAAGGAGAGAATGGATTAGAGATTAGAGAATATGATTCCAGAGTCACAGAACAGGTTGAGTGCGAAAATTACCACATAAATTTAAAGTAAAATGCTCCAAAGACAGAGCATTAAATGGACCTCAGTTTCACCTGCTAAGTGTCCACAGTTTGGTTTAAATGGCAGGTAAATGAAGCAGGGTCTCAGACCTAAAGGTTGCTACATTTAAATTGAACTGAAGAACTGCAAGGCCAGTCTTCAGTGACTGAAAGGAAGTGACAAGGAAATTGGGATGTGGTAGCAATGGGGAAGGGTGGATGGTGGTGCAGCCAATGACAGAGGCTTCAAGGGAAGGGGTATCTGGTCAAACAAGAGAGAGTAAATATTCTCATAATATGTTGAGCAAGTAGAGGGACTGGTTTATTAAGGGATGAAATCTGAAACAAAAAGGAATTGGGAACATGTTAAAAGCAAGGAGGAGGAAGAGATAACACTGCTGGTGACAGGACAAAGCCAAGAGATGAAAACCAGTTGGGGAGTTAGCTTCCCGGGGAGGGAAAGAATTACTCTCCAGTTTCACAGGGAAGTAGAGAGCAGTGGTTGAAAATCTTGACTACCAATACTCTCATTATGACATAGATAGTTTTTGTCAAAGAACAGGCTCACGGTGGGGTATAACAATTAGCATGGACTCAAAATACTGGCAAGGGGCTTTGTTATGGTGAAAATGTGGACTATATTATTAATTCATTCATATAAGTGATATTGGGGGCCTTTCCATAAATTCTGAAGGCCTTCAAGGTAATCCTTTTGTAAGGGCAGGACTGGATACAGTGCAGGTTTTCTGATCCCATGCAGACCGGGTAAAGGAGGAGTCAGAGTCCTCAGTGGTTTTACAGGTTTTTTATTTGGGGTTCACCAGACATATGGCAGGCAGGGGTGCTGGCTGGGGGGCTGGGAGGTTGGCAGGCCTCCCAGCCCCCAGCAAGTCTTCACTCTAACTGGGCTCTCTAGCGTTCGTTCTGCTGCTTCTCGGCTTCTGCTTCGGCTGCTGCTGCTGCTGCTGCTTCTGCTGGCGTCCTCGTGACGCCGCCCTTAAAAGCAGTCTTAGCCCAGGTGAATCCCATCTACCTATGCCCACACCTTATTCCAGGTGCCCGCCATCAGGCATGCATTCAGGACAAGGATCCATCATCTATCCTGATGGTGGAAGGGCAGAAAAGTCTGATATTTTCTTTACCCTACACCTTTCTAGTCTTTCAAAACACTGAGCACCACACTGTGTCCAATCTTAACGCTTTCCTATTCTAATAGTTTCCAAGTGATAGTTTCCAAGAACCACCTGCAAAATATCTTTCATACCTGTCATTGTCTAAATACTACTTAATATACTCTTGCAGTGTATATGTGTGTATTTGCTTGTTTCGATCTCCGTTGATGAGGAGAAGAGGAATACAAAATGATGCAATTATCATTAAAAAAAAAACACCACCAAAAGCATCCAAATTCAAGGTATAAATAGACTTACAACAGAAATTACCTATAGAAGACTCCTCGACAAGGGTTACCTTACCTTGTCATGAACGGTCATACAGCTCGCTGCATCTTTCTGAAGGATTTCAGTTACTCCATTGGAAAGCCTTTCATACTTCAATTTGGGTTCCTCTTCACTCTCTTCCTCCTACACAAAAACAGAGACAATACCAGCTGCTGTGGATTTATATGAAACAGACAAAACTCAAAACACTCTTAAGGGGGAACCAGATAGTTCTTGTAATGATTGTCAATAGCTATTACAGCTAATGGTGAAGATCTTCATGTTTCATTTGTCCAACTTGGTGTATCAACTGTTACAACTTCACTGATAGAATAAATTTAAAAGCTGAAAAGGTGAGCAAGCTTAATGTTGAAATTAATCACCTTTGACATATTACAGTAAATACAACAGTCTGGAGCACTACAGACGCCAGAGAGAGAAATACAATAAACCCTTAAAAACCATGAAATATGTATTTCAAGATTTTAAAATATTTTTATTTTTATATTGGTCAAATTTAGGTCCATCTGACTTAAATTAGAAAACATTACGAAAAATATTAAGGTGGGGCTTCCCTGGTGGTGCAGCAGGTTGAGCGCAGCGCTGTGAAGATGTCCACAGCCTCTGCAATGCAGGTTCGATTCCTGGCTGGCCAGGGAGATACCCACATGGCATGGCAGACCTCTCCTGTCTCGCCCGCTGCTCCCCTCAGCAGTGTATTTCTGTCCATCTGTCTGTTCTGCTTCCCGCTCTGTACATGGTGAATCCTCTCACCCTCCCATGCCTCTGACCTGTACCCCAGTTCTAGTATAAAAATAAATACAATCTTTAAAAAAAATTAAAGTGACAAAATTGGAAATTTTGTATTAAGTAAAATGCATGGTCACCTTTCAGATAAACATATTTTAATGTTTATTTTATATACCGATGACCCATGAACAAACACTATATACCTAGTTTATGTTAGAAAGAAAATGTATTGTTTACTCTCATCTGAATAAGCCAACTTATGCATTAAAATGTCTTAGTCATTCTGATGTATTATTACTTTCTTGTTCAACCTCACTGTTGCTATGTATCAAAAGATAGCTTTAGTTCTCGGGAAACAGCAAACCCAAAGATAGGATTAGTGAAGTGGAAAAAGAGGTCAAAAAAGGGAAGCCCAGAGAAGAAAAAGACATGGGAAATACAGAAATGAACGTATGAGCTAAGTGGAACATAGTGGAAAAGGTTAACATACACTTTTAATTACATTCCCAAAGGAAAAAGAGATGGGGGAGAGGCAGGGATATATTTACAGAGGTAAAACTGAGGATTTTCTAAAATGGATAGGGTATCAATCCAAAGGTTCAAAAGCTCTGCATCTCAAGCAAGGAAAGAAAATCCTATCTGTGCAGACATAGTAAAATGAAAATTAAGTAAAAACAAAATTGTTTGTAGAGTAATAAATGCTGGGCCTGTTGAAGATTCTAAGACTGACAGGACACAAGAGGCCTTCAGGTGGAAAGAGGCTAATCTGTGAATAAAGAAAAAGCATGAGACCTATCAAACATCATGTCATAGTTAGCATTAGATATTTCATTTATCCTGAGTTTAAAAAAGAAAAAAAAAAAACAACAACAGTGGAGAGTTAAACTTAATTATCTCATTTTATGGATTTTCAGTAAAAACTGATGATGAAACTTTTAAGCATTTTCATCAAGACACACAGGTGGGTAGAAGGCAAACCCAAAATTCAAAATCAGTTAAGAGTACTCTAAAATCAATGTCTTGTATAACACACCCAATCTCCCACGAAAATGATGTGATAAATCATTTTATCACATAAATTTTATGCCTATAAATAATTATAAACCATAGGAAATGTTTAAAAATGTGTTTATTTAGCAGGGTATTAGCTATCTATTGCTATACAACACAGTACACCAAAATTCACTAATTTAAAACAACAGGTGTGTATTCTTTCACAAAATGTCTGTGAGTAATCAGTACAGGAGTCATTTAGCTCAGTGATTCAGATTCAAAGTCTCTCATGGGGTTGCAGGCAAGATTCAGCTGGGGCTACACCCATCTGAAGGCTTGACTGGGGTTAGAAGTATCTGTTTCTGAGATGGCTCCTTCAAATGGTTGGCAAGTAGGTGCTGGTTGTCAGCAGGAAGCTTCATTCCTTGTCTCATGGCCCTCCCCACAGCACTTCTGGAATATCCTCAGGACATAGCAGCTGGCTTCCCCCAGAGTGAATAATACAAGAGGAACAAAGTAGAAGTAGCAGTGTTGTAAACACCTAGACTCACATGTCCCACAGATCTTCTGCAATATTCTATTGGTCACACACAGGTCAGCCATGATTCAATTGAGAGGAGAGGACAAAAGAGTAGGAAAAATAACAGGTGAGAATCAGGGGAAGCCATCACACAGACAGCAACAAGAGCAGTAATAAAATTTTAAGAGCAATAAGCAAAGTTGATGAGATTAAACAGCCTACTAATATTCCATGTTTATCATAAGCTGTCTTCATGTTTCTTTTCTAAATATAAATAAGCTATTAGTTGTTTATTAAGAGTACTAAAATCAAAGATGGTATACCTACTTTCCAAGAATAACTTTAAAAACTAAAAACAACAAAAGGGAAGAATAATATTATGGTTATTTAAAAGACTATGCCAGTTTAATAAAGATACCAATGATAATCAACCTAACCCAAGGAACTGTTATGTGGCAAAAAGCAACCTGTTGTAAATACGAAAGAGCTAATTAACCTAGTCTAAAGAACACGGAAAAAGAAAAATTACCAAAAAAGCAACAAATAAACACTTCTACTTACCTATTTCTAAGCAAGAAACAGAAATCATTACAAAGTTAACATTAAATATGGTAACAATGATGTGTGTATTCTGAAGTAAATGTGTTAAATGCAAACTGAATCCTGAATGTTAGTCTTTATAATAAGATGCCACATGTTGCTCAAGTCTGGACATCAAATGTGCATCCAATGTGAAAAGTTAATTCTAGCCTCTTGACTATTTTGCATAAAAGCACTCATCCACGGACCATTAGATAAAGTTATTGTAAATAAGGTTTGCCTGTCTTATTTATAAGTGAAAACTAAGTAATTTCTTTCACATAAATATACAAAAATAAATACTCTCACAACACAGTTCACTGAAGCATTTGTACCAGGCTTCAAAAACCATAAAATAAAATGAAAACTCCAATATTAGGCACTTGATGTAGCATTTCATGCTTTTCTGACAGGTATCTTTTATGTTAAGTTAAAAGCAGGCTAAAGGTGAATTTTTAAGGTTTTTTCTGCTTGCTGTAAACAAAGAAAATGGAAAGTGATTCAAAAATACAATTCACAGAGGTTATTCCACTGCTACAGACTGTATATCACATTTTAAATAAAAACACATTTTAAAAAGTCAAGTAGATTTAATATAGTTTCACTTAAAAAAATTAAACAGAAAAGATGGCTTTTGTGCGATTTGAACTTCCATGGCAAACAACCCAGTGTTAATAAAAAGCAAATCAATAATTTTTGTTAAATTTTAATAATCTTGCAAACCTACAAATAAAACCATCAACAGTCTGAGTTGAGATGACAGTTAACTGCGTTTCTATGACAACCTAGTGGAATAGTACAAGTCCTGACTTGCAGCTAAGCGAAGATATGAACAGAGTGACATTTACCCATACAAGAAAAATTTGCAGCCTTCCTTTAAAAAGAATCAATTCCTCAAGCAACATGGTTTTTCACTAAGTGTAAAGCACTTTTAATTAAAGACATGTCCTTTAAATCATCCTTTAAGACTCTAGGATGCGATCTGAAAATAAATTTCACATTACAGTTATTCTTTTGCATTTAAAAGAAAAAAATTACTCTTGTGGGTGGGGGGATTAAGGCAATTAAAGATCTCAGCCTGAAAAACTATTAGTACTTTGTTACTAACACCAAGGGGTAAATGTTCATGAAGGGAAGTCCTATCACCTTAGTAGATTTGTAAACCAACAAGAATATGGCACTTTTAACTTGATAATTTAAAATTCATGTAGAAGAAAATCTTTTTGGTTTTTATAACACCAATTTTTCATCCTGTTTTAATTTACCCATATCTTTTATACAACAGTACATTTTATAAACCACTGTTATGGACCAAATGAAGACTTGAATTTTATTTTTCAGAATCATGTCACATGATTTCAGGAAATTAACAGAGAGGTCATTATATTTTCTGGGTTTTTTTTTTTTTAAGATTTATTTATTTATACAAGAACTGGGGTACAGGTCAGAGGCGCGGGAGAGTGAGAGAATTCACCAGAGACAGAGCGGGGAGCAGAACAGGCAGACGGACAGAAGACACTGCTTAGGGGAGCAGCGGGCGCGACAGGAGAGGTCTGTGGAGTCATGTGGGTTTCTCCCTGGCTGGCTGGGAATCGAACCAGCGCTGTAGGGGCTGTGGACAGCTTCACAGCATGGAGCGCAACCCACTGCACCACCGGGGAGGCCCTGGGTTTTTGTTTTTAATTGTGTATCTACTGATTTACTATTGGCTTACAATACCAACATACAGCTTCATGCCTTAATATGGTATCTACCCAACACACACACCATAGTGCTAGTGCCATCCACTGTTATCAAACTGACATCTCTACACTTTCCTTCCACCCTCTTCTCTATCCCCTCTGGTAACCACCACAAATTTCTCAGAGTTATTTTCGCTGTGTTTTGCTAGTTTGTTTGCTTTACTTATATATGTTCCACAACTGAGTGAAACCATCCACTATTTCACACAGCATAATCACCTCAAGTTACAATATTTTATCTAGGGATAACATATCTTTATTAAATACAGTTTTGCTTTCTTTCTTTGCTGGCTTTTCATAAAATAAAATGTAACTAGATATACTAATGGGGAGCAGTGAAATATTTTGTAAAGTCCAAGTTAAGCTGGTAAAAATACCACCAGCTGAGCACTCTAGACAAATCACAATCTCACTCTTATGGAGATGGCCTTTATCCAATCCAGCTTCACCTTGTCAAAGACCTCAGCTGAACTTCTAGAAACTGTAATATGATGAATGGCTTACTTGACCTCGTGCCATCAACTACATCTGACTAGGGACAAATCCTTCTAATAAATATC